TTGAGAAGGTCTGTGGTGCTGAAGGGTTGGTAGCAGAGTATGGGGTGCCCGGGCTGAACAGACCCGTTTTCCCCAACTTGTTGTGGCCCTTGTGTCTCCCGCAGTGGCAGTTGAAGGGCCGGTGGTGCTGGCTTCCCGGCTTGTGCTGACCGGAGTCTCCTTCCTACCAGCTCAGGCTGGGGGCTGGGCTCTGCCTCTGGGTCCTCAGGCTGGGGACATGTTGGTGCCCCGGGGGCAGACAGAGGGGGCAGGCACATTTTGTTCTCTGTGTTTCCCTGGAAAATAGGCTTTTTTTTGTCTGTCTTTTTGGCCTGGACCGGCTGAGCTGCTAAAATCTTGCATTGTCCAGGTCCATTTGAGCAGAACCGAATCCATGGGGGTAGAGTCTGGGCTATATTCAGCCAGGAGTCAATGTAAGGGAATTGATCTGTTTGGCCTGGGGTTCCAGTGATTATTTGATAGAATGCACGCACTGTTGCTAGGTCCAGAGTTCCTCCTGAGGGCCACCTGACTCCAAAGGCTGGCCATTCAAGCTCACACAAAGTGTGGAGCCTGCCAGGGGTCATTCGAATTCCATAGTCACCTGAGAACCCCTTTTTGAAATTCTTAATCATGCAGTCTAGAGTGGTGGGTTTCGACTTACAGCCTCCCATTCTTTTTAGATGTTTAAGGATAACAGATCTGTTGCTTTACATGTTTGGGAAGGTAGCCTTCTTCACTCCTCAAAACACCGGAGTTCCCAGAGAGACTGCTCTTTTGCTGGGTCTATGAGTTGTTTGAAGGCTAATTTGGTCAGGGAGTCTGGGTTCCACTCACGGCTGATGTCTTTGGAGCTCAAGGCCTCAAGCAGTTCCAGGGACTTTCTTCATTAAATCCTCTCTATATCCTGAACTAATGTATCAGGGGTGTGGGACTGACGGTGGACGGTAAAACAAATGGACTAGAAAAGGGACCTCCAAGGCCAGGTGAGCCTGGTCCTGAAGGAATTTGTCTTCTAAACTTGAGTCCTGGGGGTCTGAGGCTAGGCAAAAGGGGCACTACTTGGGTCAGTTCAGTAGGGGAACACTAAGTCTCGGGTGTTCTGTGACAGAATCAGGTAGGAGACTTTCTCAAAGAAATAGCATCCTAGCCTCCGAGGGCACAGGGGAGTTGACTCATTGGCTGTCTATGTCCTTTTCCCTCCCAGTGTAGCCACCCTGTGCCGGTGTCGCAGACAAGACAAGGGACGGTTTTCGTTGTGTCCGCCTGGCCGCTCCCCTCGTGGGGACGAAGGTGCCTCTTAGCTTTGGCGGGTCAGTATAAGCCGCTGACTCCGATCGGGACCCTGAGGGACCGATACCGCCCTGAGCCGTATGAGGTCACCACGGAACCACAGGTTGGGACTCACTCGAACTCCGTAGCAGAACGCCGTAGAGCTACAAACTCGAGCCTGATCGCATGCTTCACAGGCCGCG